ACTAAAAATGAAAAAAAAAAACTTTACTTTAACTTGTTTTTCAGTTAAACCAAGACATGCAGCTATTTCAATTCTACGTAATCGTGATAAATACATACTTGATGCAAATTCTCTTTCTAATTCAAGTAATTGTATACTCGTAAATGCTGTACGCATACGTTTTAATTCAAATGGTAATTGTTGAAATGTTGTTGATGCTGATGACGATGTTTGTGATGGTGAGGAAATAATTGTCTTGGTTTCTTTATGTTCATCATTATTTGTTTTAAAAAATTGTGAATGAAGAAAAAATAAATGTGATGAAGGAGATGATGATACTAATGGAATTGATGATGATGATGATGATGGTGTAGATTTACTTGCTATCAAATATTCGATAGAAAATGACTTGTTATTTCCTAACATGATGATGATGATGATGATCGTTGTCAAAATGAAAATGAATATGATAATAGAAATGAGATGAATAACAGCTATTCTATATGTGTGACAAATTAATTCGATAATCAACACATTGACATAGAACATAATTGACTCGTGAATTGTTAATGAATATGAAACAGATAGCATTATATACACCTTGATTTTCTCTTATTATTTTTTTTCTCTCATTCTCTTTGTCTCTCTTGTCCTCTCTTCCCTTGATAATTCTTCACTAGTCATATTATATCGTTAATCTCTTCAATATTTTCTTTTTCGTTACATGAAAAACAAAAAAAAAAAAAGAACGAGTTTGACAGAAGATAAAAGTCATTTAATATTGTCCGACAATAAATTAGAAACAGACACGCCTTTAGAATGAATTTTATTACTCTAGACTAGAAAATAGAAAAAGAAAGAATAGTAGTATTTCACTTTCGATAAATCTATCAGTTAACTTATCCCCATTGAGAATAATTTGACACAAAACAGTTACTTGTCATGTTAGTAATTGAATACAATAGACGAATTAACACTCAATATGAAAATATCGTGTTGTATGACAAATGATTTCTCACATTTTTTTATCTTCCTATTCTTAAAAGGATAGAATGATCAAAAATTATATATGCAAACAGATGTTGATCATTATCATTAACTTAATGTTCAATTGAAAAAAAAAACAGCTCTTTTCTTTTTTTTTTTTCTATCCTATTTTTTCCTAATCATTTATTTATTAGAAACATGAATTACTTTATATGTTTATCACATATTTTTATTTAGATTAATTATTATTATTTCCTTTTAGATAATCTACTTAATTGACTAGCAAAATATAATTCATACAAATTGTCATGTCTCTGAAATTGTCATCAAATGAATAAAAAATGTATTAGATATTAACATTTGTTGTTATATAGTCAACAAAAAAAGAACCTAGAAGCAATTGATTGGCTTTTCATTCAATCTGTATTTATTGTATGTCCAATGGTTTTCATTTAGTTTACACGATTTATTTCGAAAACGAGAAATGAACAAACGAGTAGTCATTACGATAATCAGTGTATTGTCAAAACAAACGAAAAGAAAAAACAAAGGGAGATGGCTGTTTAACTTTTTTATGAATGTTGAAAATATCGTAGTTCAGTAGCTTTCAAGATATTTTGCCGCTGTTTTCGAGATACGAGTCTCTCATGTAATCTCATATTCTTGCAATCGATGCTAACAATTGCTCTTCTTTCTTTTTTTGCAGTAAATCAATCATAATGTCAATGTTTGAATATGGAAAATTTACATGTTTTTCCATTCGAGAATATCAACCTTCGAAATAATTAATTGTAGGTAGTGTTGTATTAAGTTTGCAAAATGTATTAGAATTTTGTTCTGACAATATATCGATTGTTACAATGATTATTCATTTCTTTTCTTTGAAATAGTCAATGGGCGATAAACTGTACACATCTTCTCATTTAACTTGTCTATGATTATAACAAAATTCAATGTTGTATAGAAGAATGTTTTTTTTTTTTTGTTGCATCTAGTAATAAATTTATTTTGTGTCTTGAATGGTTCACATTGATATAAAGAGAGGGAAAATAAAGCTGTATTGAAAAAAAACAGAGACTAGTTCGTTTCTAGTAAAAGAAAAATCATACCTCTCAAAAATAATAATAATAAAAAATGACAATAATTTATATAGATATAACATAGAGAAGATAAATAGTATTGAAAAAATGAAGTGTTGAATAATTAGTTGGAATGAATATCTAATATTTCTCTATTCAAACTAACGTTAACATATTATATCTAAATATTATATAGGTAATACTTGTATACAAATCAGAGAGTAGCTGAAAAAACCATTTTGTGCTACCGCCTCGTTTCACCAAGAACCTAGCATAAAAATGGATGTTTATTTATGCATTTTTTTAATCACATGTGAAATATTACTATTTCTTTTATTACATAAGATCAAATAAAGTACATTTAATGTACATAGATAGGTTCCTTTTTTTTTTTTTATTGAAGACGAATAATCAAATCTCATACAATCTTGCACTTCCCTCACTGTCAAAAATCTTACTTCGTCCATGGCGAGGCGGTATGACTCAATGGTTTGCAGATCTCTGATGCAAATAGGTTTATGAGAGTAGTACTAATTACATAATAGTTTTCTTTTTGTACTTGATAAATATTTTCAAAAATGTGCCATTCTGCCAATGTATGTTGCGTCCTTATTTTAGATCTGTTAAGAAGTAGACTTTGTTTATCCTATCGGAGGATATTATGATTTTATATGCTTGCCATGTTTTGTTGAAAACATAAAGCATAAGATGATTTTTCGCGACTTAGAATAAGGATTGTTTCGTCATTCTAGTTTTGTAATGAGAAAACCTGTTTTATACTTGAATAGTACACACGTTCAATAGATTTTCACTATTTATCTATATTGAGAAATCAGATTGAAAACAATCAAAGGAAGTGCGGCATAGCGAAGGCAAAAAAGATTTTTTTTTCCTTATCTTAATATTGGTTTTGAAGATGGTATAGAACAATATCTTCATTATTTCATCCGAGTTTAATTGAAATTTGTTATCCCTAAATATTTAAAACTTTTTACATATTCGATAGGTTAATCTTTAAAATCAATTTTAGATTTAGTATGTGAAACTACACTATGTATTAATAGTGCTTTTATTTTCTTGATATTGACTGAAAGAAGATTATCATTTGTAAAACTTTCCTAATCATTTCGGGGTTAATTTAATTCTTGTTTCTAATTATATAAATGAAACCATTAAGGAAAACAATCGAATAATCAATAATTAAATAAAAGAATTCTAAATATAATTTTATTTGTGTAATGCATTAGAATTTTAATTGATTGAATATTTTCATGAACAACATATCGATTAATAAAATTGAAGAGCGAAAACTACAAATATGAAAATATCTACGAAAGAATACAAACTACTTTTTCTAATCTAATCTAATAGGGTTTTTTTTGTCTTTATTACACGAGAGTGCTTTCATGCTTATTCCTATAATATTTCTGAGATATTAAAGATTCTAAAATCGATATTTGTATGATATAGTACTGACAATAATAAGAAGGAATTTTTTCATGCTACAAATCTAGTTAATGAATACTCATTGAGATAATTTATACATAGAAATTTTCCGAGGTATTGCGGAGAGGGAGGATGATCAATGATGCAAGAAGGCAATTGAAAGATATTTGCTAAAATTGACCGAATTTTGAGGGAACGGGTCGAGCATTTTTTGAGAATTGATGAATAAAACGCCGAAACTTCGCTAAAAAAAAGACGAAAATTTCTCAAGATTGGGTAAGGAGTCGCCAATCTTTATACAAAAACTAATATTATCATGATTGTAGCTGATGATGTGTTCGACAAATGATATTTCCTGTAATTGTACAAATATTTTGTATGACAAGTGAAAACTGATGAGTGATAGAGGTCGATATGAGATTGATTTTGTTTTGTTGGTCATGCAATTTTGCTATATGTAGCATAGTCTATTTTGTAATACTTTTAAAGTACTCTGATAAAAATTTAAGTTTCTTTGTGCATTATTTGCCGAAATAAAAACATATTATAAAATCGACTCAATGAATTCACATGTTTATTAAACTAGCACGAGAAAACGATTAAAAATAAATAAAGAAAAAAAAGATTGAAGTACTTAATAATTTGTAAAAAAAAATATATTACAAATGCAATAATAATTTTCATCACGCACTATATTTATTATGTATATCCTATTGTCATTAAATAATCGGAAATCTAAAAATTTATTTGTGATGTAATGAAATAGTTGAGTATTCGTTATTTCAAATCAAGAATAATAAATAATTCTTGATATATAAATATATATATTTTTTTCTCTGTCATGAAATCATTATACAAGAACTAATAGATGTTAACTAAGAAAACACTTGTAAAATACGACGATAGAGAAAGAAAAAGAAAAGAAGATGCCAAGTGCTCAGAAACAAAATATAACTTCATGAAATTGCGGTTAACTTAGCAATCATTTTCTCGTTTTTTTCTACTAGTTGCATTCCTTTTTTCTCCGACGAACAGTAAGAAAAGAAAAAATAAATAAACCCTATTTCTTACATTCTATATAGAAGAAAAAAAAGAAGAAAAGGAACTAGTGCTTTGTTATATGATTGCGCTCAGTTTGTTTTTTGAAGTTTTTCATAACAATCGAATATAAATTTTTAGTATTTTTTTTTTCGTCCTGATAAACATTCATGCATGATCAATAAAAGTCAATTGTATGACGTAGTTAGCGTGTCTAATGCAATTACCTATGTATTAGTGCAGAAGAATATACATTACTATATTTAAACTCGAGGTATAGGTAAAAAAGCTAACAAATCTCTATCAGTGTTTTATCCAGCCGGAGAGCGACACCTTCTCTGAAGATTATTTTGACTCTTCCAGAGTTTTAAATCGTCCTTCTAGAAGAGAAAATTTGTATAAAGACATTGATATCTATATTTAGATTGGTAGACTAGATTAATTAGAAATAATTCATATTTTTCTTCGTATATGACATTATACATCGACGAAAACAATAATAAATGGTTTCGTGAAAAGAATTCGGAATTTTGGCCAGGTCAAGAATTTTTAATTGAAATTGAAGAAATTTTATATCAACAACGATCAAAATATCAAGATGTACTTGTTTTTAAAAGGTAGATTAGTGATTATGATGAATTATTATTTTTTTTTTTTATGTTTTATAAATTTGATATTTTTGTTTTTAGTAAAACTTATGGTAATGTACTTGTATTAGATAATTGTATTCAATGTACTGAAAGAGATGAATTTGCTTATCAAGAAATGGCTGCCTTTCTTCCTTTACTTGCACATCCCAATCCGAAACGAGTAAATTGAAACAAAAAAAAAATAACTGTTTTGTTTTGAATTAACTTTTTTTTTTTGTAAGATACTGATTATTGGTGGAGGTGATGGAGGTGTTGTGCGTGAAGTAGTAAAACATCCACAAGTTGAAGAAGTTATTCTTTGTGAAATTGATGAAGTAAGATTTTTGAAAGAAATAAAAAAGAAAAGAGATTTATTTCATTTTTGTTATAGGATGTTATTAATGTAAGCAAAAAATATCTTCCTAATATGGCAAAAGAATTAGTCAATTCAAAAGTAACAGTTGTTATTAGTGATGGATGTGAATATCTTAAACAACATATAAATGAATTCGATGTTATCATAACAGATTCATCGGATCCAAATGGTAAAATTTTATTAGAGAAACAAAAATTAATATAATTTTTTTAAATTTTTGTATTGAATTTTTAGGTCCAGCTGAATCTTTATTTGAAGAATCATTTTATTCATTAATGAAAACAGCACTTAAACAACCAGATGGTATAATATGTTGTCAAGGTGAATGTATTTGGTTAGATTTACCTTTGATTAAAAAATTAATGACAATAAGTCGTCATCTTTTTTCATCGGTTGCTTATGCTAATGTATCTACACCAACATATCCATGTGGAACACTTGGTTTTATTGTTTGTAGTCTTAATGAAGTAAATGAATTTGTTTTTTAAAGTAACATTTTTATTTGATTTATTTTTGTTTTTTAATTTCCATTAGAATGTAAAATTAACTGAACCGATTAATGAAAAGTTAGCTGATGAACTTAATACAAAATATTATACAGCTGACATTCATCGTGCTTCATTTGCTTTACCTGCATTTGCTCGTCAAGTATGTAAACCAAAGAAACAAAAAAGCCCTATAAATTAAATTAATAATTGATTTTATTTTCTAGGAACTTGAAGACAAGAATAAATGATATTGTTCTTTATGTGTTTGTTCGTTTTTCTATAATTTCTTATTGTACAAATAATATATGTTCTTGCAATTTTTTGTGTATCCATTAATGTATCTTTCAATAAACTTAATCTCACTATTATATAAATGTTTTATACATTAAGACTTAAATAATAAGAAAAATTTAAAACGTCTCATTAATCATGTTAGAAAAGTTTCGCATTAAAAAGAATTTCGTTAGTTACATTCGAGAGTAGTAGATTAATTAAGTCATTTGAAAAATATGAAATTTTAATTTTTTATAACTTTGATAATGTTCGTTAAAATTATGCAAAACCTAAAACGAAATTTATCTTTGAATGCATCAAGTAAAGAATTTTTTTTCATTTGAAAACATAAATTTATATTAGCCATTTTACAATACAAAACAAAACAAAAATTTCTAATCTACAGAAGAACATTATTAAATATATTCTATTAAATTTTCCATCGTTTATTATTCTGACTTGTTTCTTATTATTTCTTGACACAACATGATAATAGATAAGAGACAGACATGTCAAGACTGTATATATATGTAGGCATTTTAATGTACTTCCATTTAAGTTTCTAATTTGACATGTAGCATTAAGAGAAGTAAATGTTGTCTGAGAACAAAATGTAATTTAATATTGAAATAAAATAAAAGATTTAGAATACGTCGAAAATCTTTGTCAATTTTTATTAGTCATCTTATTTCCCAATCATCTATTTTTCAATAATATATTTATTTCTTTGTATTATAAAAATTAAATTAGTAAAACATTCTAATAACTTATCAGAGATAGGTCAATGTAGTCATTTTTTTTCAATTGATCATATATCTCTGTGTAACATATATTTTGAAAGTGTTCTTTTGAGAAAAAAAAAAAAGTTTAATGAATACATTGATAATTATTAATTAAATCATTTCGCATACAAGATAATTTTGTTTATTCTTTTTTTAAATATAAGTCTAATATTTTCGTTTTTTTTTTATATAGAGTTTATTTATTATGAGGTCGCTAGTGAATGATATAATTTATTTACAACTGTCATTGGTTTTAACAATATTCCGGTATAAATTGGATCATTTATGAACAAGGGCCTAACGGATATCTTTTTCTTGTTCAATAAGAGTTTTTCTTTTAATTAAACTATACAAGAATGAATAATACACTTCAATCTCATTCATCAAATATTGACAATGATGAATGTTCATTAACAGATACTCAAATTTTAGCTTTATGTAAAGAATTTGCATCAATAACCAATACTGATACAACTTTAGCTAAGATGATATTACAAGAAAATCAATGGAATCTTGAACGTGCTGTTAGTATTTATTTTGATTTACTAATAGATGAAAAAAAATCATCTATTAAAGAAATTAATAATCAATATCAAAATTCGTCAGTGTTTTTTCTTTTTTTTGTGAATATCCAATCAAATAATTTTAATCTTCTCTTATATCACATAGTGAATTAAATATAAAATCAATAATACCTCATATTGAATTATCAAATATTAAAAAAAATTTTAAATTACTTTCATGGAATATTGATGGACTTGATGAATATGCACTTGAAATAAGAACACAAGGTGTTATTGATATTATTAAAAAGTACTATTATTTATAATGAGAATATAATTATGAATATGATATTTATTTTATATTTTCGAAGAGAAGAACCTGATGTTATATTTCTACAAGAAGTTATTCCAACATCACTTAAATTAATTCGAATATTTTTACCAGAATATGATTCATATACTGGTTAGATGAAATTTTTATTTAATTTTCTATATGATTGTTTTCTTTTTCTTTTTTTTGTTTAGGAAATATTGAAGGTTATTTTGTGGTTATATTAACTCGACGAGAAATGTTTCGAATACATGGTTTTGAAATAATTGCATATCCTAATACTAATATGAATCGTAATTTACTTATTGTTCATGTAATAATTTTTTATTCTTACATCTAGATATTTATTCGTTTTTATTTTTCATTTTTGTTAATAGACTACATATAAAAATTCAATTGAAATTGATCTAATGACATCTCATCATGAAAGTGGTACTGAAGAATTATCAAGTCAACAACGTATTGAACAATTAAAATTATGTTTTCAACGAATGTTAGATGCTCCATTACAACGAATTGTTCTATTTGGTGGTGATTTGAATATGAGAGAAAAAGAAGTAAAATATCTGAGTTTAGATTAAAGTACGAAATATTTCCGAATTTCAGTTTTCGATATTAGAGAGATAATAAAAATTCTTAGTATCTTTTGAATCAAACATTTTGTTTTAATATGATCAATATCGATAGTTAGCGTCCTCTGTACACATAAATTTTGTTTATTGTATTCATACAAATGAATAAAATTATTTTGACTTATGTAATATTAAAGATACACTGTTATCTACAACTTGCGAAGTTTTGTTCTATTTTCTATAAGAGTTTCTATTCTCGTTTTTTTTTGTTCGTGTATAAATTATCATTAGTACTAACGATAATTCATCCCTTGCTAAAATTAGCTCTAAATCTTGCTTCATTATATCAATATAATGAAAGTAAAATTCATAGGTTATTTATGACATTTCAAGGAGTATCAGAGTGTATTCTCAGATCTTGCTTATTCATTCAGCAAAACTGGATTTTTATATCTAAATTGTGAGATTTATTGTGATGTACTTCTTTTTTATTTTTATTTTTTAGTTACGAAAAATTGGTAATATACCATCTGGCATATGTGATTTATGGATTGAAACAGGCAAACGAAATGAATGTGCATATACATGGGATATGAGTGTTAATACAAATAATAATTTTCCATCAAATACTTTTCAACCTCGAGCACGTTTTGATCGTTTATATTTTCGATCAACAATAGAAACTAATATAAAATTTCAACCAATTTCTTTTGAACTTAAAGGTCTTGAGAAACTTTCATCTATTCAACGTTATTGTTCAGATCATTGGGCTATTCAAGTTAATTTTGAAATTTAATCATTTATTTATTTATTTTTTTCTTTTGTGTTCGATATTGTTTATAAATATAAAGAAGAAAAAAAAGCAAAATAATAAATTTTCATTTGTAGATGTAAATGGTAGACATTAATTCTTCAACATTATTTCAAAGTAATTTAAGTACAATATTACATTGGCCATTAGCACGTAAAATTGAATTACTTTCATCATTTTCACAATGTTCAACACCTTTATGTCTTTGTGCTGGATGGATAAAACCAAATGAATCAACAATAAACGATATAACAACAAATGATGATACAACAGTAATACGTAAACCATTACTTTGTTGTTCATGTCAACATCCATATGATTTGCATTATAATGAAAAAACAAAAGGAAAATATTGGTCAGCTGAATCAACATTAGAACAAGTTGATTCAGCATTACAAACATTACTTGATGCTGATTTATTAATACGTTTTGCAACATCACCATCATTATCTGATCAACATGATTTATCAACAAATCGAACACTTTTATTTATTGCACAAACATTACAATCAACAATAACAACAATGGCAATACATACAACACGTCGAGATTTAATTAGTGCAAATATGATTAATTTATTAGGTATGTGTCCATTTGAACAACCATGTATACGTGATGCTGTTATTAATTTTATTTGTTCAACAACATCAAATTTAACATCATCATCATCATCATCATCAACAACAACAACAACAACAACAGCAAATGATAATCAACAATTACATATTATATTTGAAGCTGGAAAACAATTTTTACATTTATTAAATACATGGAAAATGCCATCGGATGTTGCACATCAATTATGGTTACAAGAACAATCATCAACATCAATGGAAAATATGAAAAAAGTAATTAATTCGAGAGAATTATCTAATAATGGATGGTGGAAAATTTTTTTTGTGTTCAGTAATTTTGTTTTTAGTATAGCGTGATAAAAATTCATCAGAAAGACTTGATAATTTTCTTGTTAGAAAAGGACAAAGTCTCTACTAAAATACTTACCGAAAGCTGAAAAGTTTTGAAGTTTAGAAAAAAAATTCAAAGTATCTATTGGATTCGAAATCGACATTTTTCTAAAAATCCTTTACTAGTGAACAGTGTTCATAAGTGATTTCGAAAAATAAGCTTTAAAGTTAGTGAAATTCTATATTTTATGTTCAATTAGAGTTTGATAAACCTTTACACAGACACATTATATAAAATGGATTATGAGAAAAACTCAAGAGAGAAAGGATATTGTGATGCTCATATAGTTTTGAGCAAGGGAGAAGTACAGGTTCTGAACACTCAGCATCTTTTGGTACTGAAACTTAGTAGTGGTAGGGGTGTACAGTTCATATTCAAGATAGCTGTCTCCCAGCTATTGTAAGGATAAAACATAGACTTGTCCAGGTCAATTCTATAGTTATCCAGGATCCTCTTTCATTTGATTCGAACATTAGCATGTTTTGTTCTCACAATAGCTGAGAAACTACTTTCTCGAATCTGATTGGTTGATAAGCAAAGCTTTCGACCAATCAGATTTCAGCATGGGCTTTTCCTTCAATTATTAGGACAATACATAGGGTTGTTCGGGTCAATCTTAGAATCCTCTTTCATTTGACCTGAACATCGATATGTTTTGTCCTTAGAATAGTTAAGAAATAGTTGTCTCAAGTGTGAAGTGTACACTCCTACTACTACTAACTTTCAGTACCAAAAGGTGCTGGGGGTTGCGAACCTACACTTTCTCACTTGTATAATCGTGTACGATAGATTGAAGCTAATTTCTTTTCAGGAAAATCTATTAAAATATCATGTTGTAAAAGAGAATCAATCATTTATAATAAATTTCATCCATGAACAGACATAAATATTTTTCTGAAACAAAAAAAAATAAAGAAAGACTATACATTTTCTTAGATCAATCATTATGAATTATGGTATGCTCGTTGGGTTGGTTATTGTATCATACCACAATTATGTCCAAAATCTTTAACAAAATATGATCCAATAACAATATTTGGTTTTGAATATCTTTCACTTATTTATGATCATTTTAAATCCGATATGCTTTCAACACGTTCATTAACACCATCACTTATTCGTTTTTTTGATACATTTCAACAAACATTAATTGAATCTGATTCACCATATTGGTCATCAACTTATGAACGACCAGTTATACCAATGTTTGAAGCTAATATTGAATCACTTTTAACTGGTGATCAATCAAATACACCAACAAATTCAATAAATGAAACAACAGAAAAGAAAATAACACGACGTGTATCAAAAGCATTAACAAATAAAAAACAACTTAAAAGACTTGAACCATCTCGAATGATAACATCAACATCAACGTCAACATCATCATCATCATCATCTCAATTACAACAACAACAACATCATCAACAACATCAACATCAACAACAAAATACATCACCATTACCAGGTAGTGAATTTATAAATCGTGTTTGGTCATGTGTATGTGAACGTCATGAACAACGTTTACGTGCTGAAATTGAAAAATCTTTATTTAAAGCAAATCCAAAACGTGATGAAGTAGCACGTCTTGCTGAACAAAGAGGTTTTGCTGAATTTCATCTTATTAAACATGATTTAAATAAACATGGAGCTAATGAAACTGATCTTATGTATAAAAGATTACTTCAATTAATTAATGTTTTTTCACGTGCATTACCTAAAATGCCACAAAATTATATAGCACGAACTGTGCTTGATCCAAGACATCAATCACTTATTATAGTTTTTGCTTCAAAAGTTATTGGTGGTATTTGTTTTCGAATGTTTCCACATCGGTAAGTCAAAATAATAACAAAAAAAAAAATTCATATTCTCCAAAAATTAAATTCTTTACTCTTGTCCTATGGCGGTACTGCCGTCACCGCAATGGACATCTCTGGTTTGATCTTTGTCATGGACCGTGCTATAGAAATCTATCTATAATGGCATAATGGAGATGATAGTATATCTGTGTGAGTTAGAGTCCATCTGACTCCGAAAATTTTGGATACCACGAACTCTAGTCGTCTGAGAAATGAATAGAGCACATTAATCACCAGATACAAAAAACTGGAAAAAAGGGTCGCCTATCTTCGGAGTGATTATCTAATTTCGATTAGAAAATTTCATTGAGAATATCAAAGTATGGTTCGATCGAGTCTGAAAATTTTGCATCCGACAAGTTCTAATACAGGTTCACTTTTTAAATATCAGAAGTATTCCACTATTATTATCGTTTCTAGTCGTTGAATATGAACAGAAATTGACATGCAATAATAGTGATCAACTGCTACTTAGTCTACATTATGGATTACATTTACCAAACTCTGTCGACAGAATAGAAGTCCGTTCTATCCGCACGATCGTAAAATAGTAATGTAAATGATCGAATAGATTAGTTCATTGCTTTCCACTGTTTAGTTATAACTCCTTTGATACATCTAATTTCGTTTGCTCTACATGTTTTCAATTAACGAACAAATAAGTTTCTTTTACGAGATGAAAAATCCATATACACATGAGCATTAATGACAGACAACTGTTCGGGAGCTGACAAATAGAAAAAATCCTATCGGCTAACAGAGTCGTATAAAAATTTTTTCTCAGTTCCATCAAAACTTGATAATTTCTCAAAGTAAACTATCATAATAAGTGCGCTATAATGAGCACATTACTCAGGTTATATGATAACATAAAACTGAAAAAGTAAAAGAAGTCAATTTTCAATTCTCATCAGTACCTATCAGAGTTTGAAAATTTCAATTTATCAAATCTTGTAAACCAATCAAATCATAGCTACAACATGAAAATAGTTGATTGCAATAAAATCTAGTGTCTTTGAATCAATTAGATTTAATATGTATTAATAAAATTCCTATCTTTTTTATATTTATTTCATAATTAAAATTTAGAAATTTTTCCGAAATTGTCTTTTGTGCTGTAAGTGAATATCAACAAGTACGTGGTTATGGTACTCATCTAATGAATCATTTAAAAGATTATCATATACGATTAAATATAACAAATTTATTAACATATGCTGATGGCTTTGCTGTAAGCTAAACATTTTTTAACTTTTGTTTTGTTTTTTTTTTGTTATTGTAAACAATTTCATTTATTAAGGTTGGTTATTTTAAAAAACAAGGTTTTTCATCAACAATAACATTAAATGAACAAGTTTATACAGGTTATATAAAAGATTATGATGGTGCAACATTAATGCAATGTTCACTTTATACACAAGTAACATATACACGTTTAACTGAAACATTATCATTAATAAAAGAAAGTATAAATGTTATTCGAACACATCGTTTTAATCAAATAAAACAAGCTCATCCTGATGCAAAATTTCTTCCTAATGATATACAAACAGTTGATTTAAATAATTATGATAATTTAATAAATTTTGATCATAATGAAATAAATTCAACAGATGAAACTGTTGATATTAATTTATTATATATAACATTAAAAAGTGTTTATCAAGAAATTCGTTCACATCCATATGCTAGTCATGTACAAAAACGAACACTTTTTCAAGATTATTTAACAATTCAACCATTATTTCCTATTGATCTTGATACAATACATGAAAGATTAAAAACAAAATATTATCATAATGCATATACATTTACAGCTGATATAAGTCGTCTTTTAGATATATCTGGACGAGCTTATTCAAATCAAAAAAAAGATCTTTCAAATGAAATGCGTGTATTCGATACATTTGTAAGACGTAAAATGAACGAATTTGGTTTAGAAATTGGTCATGCACAACAAATATATGAATAATTTTCTTCTTCCTTTTTTTTTTTTCTTATTTTACATTTGTATAGATTAGAAAAAAAATACAAATAAATAAATAACTCATTGGTGTTTTTATGTATATATACATATATATAAAACAAAAATATTGTGTATGTTTTTTGTTTAACTTTAGATATTAGTTTTTGTTTTTTTTAATCTATCATGCCACG